ATTGAGAAACTAAGTATTTCCACTCACAAACATTTTCCTTAGCTAGACTTGTGAAGATTGGCTGGGAAATGTGTGGTAATTGTAACATAATATTTTTGTCTTTCAACTTAAAATACAACAAAATTTCTATAGTTTCTCCATTTGAAAAAAACATTTTATTATAATACGAAATATAACATTTTCTCCCATCTTTATCCAATGGAGAATTCATAACCAATAATTTGAAGTTACTTATGTTGTTCTGGATGCATTCTCATGATTTTAAAAGGTCATGACAGACATTTTCTAGGGTGACTTTCCAATAAACAGTAAAAATTCAAAGTTTTTAGTTTTCTGATCCAATTTGCCTTTTTCTTTCTTTTTTTTTTTTTTTTTTTTTGTAATTTCTTTATTGTCTGATGGGCAGGCCAGAATCACATTTATTTTTTTCTAAGTTGTGAATTTTATATTATCTTTTTCATTATCAACTTTGATCAGGAAAAAACACTGCATTACTCAAGTACATAAAGCCACAAGTGTTTGATCTGATCTGTTCAGGTTGTAGATTTGCTAGGAATACTTTCCTTGCCCATTTTGTTGTTTTGCTCAGCCAGTAAGTCTTCATTAAGTAAATAACTTATAATGTTTGTAAATTGTATGTGGGTCATGCTTAGCAGAAGTCTGCTCACTTTCATTGCCTGCAATTTAAAAAAATTGAAGCAAACCGCTTTTTTTCTGTTTTCTTTTTAGCCCTTCCTTTTCTGAGCTCCACGTTCATTATGTGTGGTTCTCTCCCAATGCCAGCATGTTTTCACTCTCCATGATCTATAGGATTAAAAGATTAAATGCAATCATATTCAAAAGATTCCAAGTTTGCCTGTATTTCATCAAAATGTAATTAAAGTAAATGTTAAAATATTGAAAAGCTAAAATTATTTTTCCTATAATGTCTCAAAAAATTATTAAGGAGCAAAAACGAAATAATATTTAATGAACAGTAAAATTTAAATGAAAACTATTCAAATAAAGCTTAGTTACTTGTTTTAAAATTTAATTATATCTTAGAAGATATTTTTATAAATATAAAATGATTGGCAATTCCTGTGTTCTGTGACCATCAGCTGTTAATGCAAAAAATTGGGATTATGCTTCATGCTTAAGCATGCTGTGTCTAGACTATGTATAAAAAAAAGAATTAGGGATGTTTGGTTTATTATTGCATACTGTTCTTTGGCTGCTGTATGTGACTATTGCAAATTCTGCAGTGATTTGTGAGAGACTTATAGGTCTGCAAACTGGAACTTCAAGAAAGCAAGAAAATAGATGCTAAACACTCGTGGGGAATTGGTACTTTATTATGCAAGAATCTATAACATCAATGATATGTGAGAGGAAGGATTTGACAAGTTAATTAATTTGTCTTTTCTCTTACCGGAGTGCTTCCACAGCTCAGATTTTCCTGACAGTCCTAAGCGATGTCCTTCCATGATGTTTGCAGAACAACCCACGATTCCTCATGACATTTGGATAAAGTCACCTACTGTTTTTAGAACAGAGGGCAAGAGATGGAGAGAAACGTTTCCTGTGGCCTGAATGGTGTAAGTCACCAGTGTGGACTCTAGGACCGTGGCTGCTCCGTGTCAGCAGAGGGTACCGGATCCCTTAATAAATTTACCTTTGCATTGTGCACTTGTGATTTTCAGACTCTTGAGTTCTGAGGTGGGAGCCTCTCTTGACCAAGGGCTGTCCTGAGCTCAATAAAATATTCAACACAACTTATATGTACAACCCATGTATAAAAAATGGACATAGCTTTTCCCTCAACCAGTACCTGAATAAATTACCATGTAAACAGTTTGGGGTTTAATTTTCTAGGCATCTTTTATACTAACCTACACACACATACATATCTTTTACATAAAATTTATATATTTATATATATGTATATATATATACATATATATATATATATACACATACATACATACACAAATGAACTTTGGTAAGCTTCCTTTCCTACATAATAATATATTATTCACTGCTTTCCGTGTTGTTACATAATATTCACCATTAACTTTATCTTATTAATAACTATATGATACATACTATTTTTTTTTTAGTCAAGTCCTTCTTAAATGATTTCTCCCCGCCCCCCCCCAATTTTTGTCATTATAAAAATCATACAGCAAATACCCTTGTGTGGGTGACTTGGTTTTCGTTACTTAAAAATAATACACTTTTTACTTTGGAATAATTTTAGACTTACAGAAGTATGGCAAAGATAATACAGAGAATTAGTGTATACCTTTCAGCCAGCTTCCCTGAATGTTAACATCTTACATAACCATTATCTATTTGTCAAAACTAAGAAATTAACATTAATACAATATTATTGACTACATTACAGATTTCACTAGGATTTTACCAAATTTTCCACTAACATCCCTCCCTTTTTGATTATTGTCTTAAGAAAACATACTTTGAGATCTACCCTCTTAGCTTTTTGAATGTATAGTGTTGTTAACTGTAAACACGATGTCATACAGCAGATCTAGAACTTTCTCATCTTGCGTGACTGAGACTTTATACCCGTTGAACAGCACCTCCCCCGTTCCCCCTCCCTCCAAGCCCCTGGCACTCACCATTCTAAGTTTTCACTACTTTTAAGCTCATGATTGCATTTGGTCAGTCACAGCGAATTTATAAATATTAGAAATGGGCTATATATAGTCGCTGCTCTCGTTATTCGTCTTCCTAAGGCTTTCCTGCAGACTTTTCTGGACAACTAAGTTCCAGATGAATATTTTACACTAATGTGCCTTGTGTAGGGTCCAAGGCAATCTGCTATTATTAATGTGTTAACCTTTACTGTCCAGTAATGGCAGAGAAATTAGAAATCTATATTAATTAGGAATGGCAAATGGAAACTCAAATATATATAATGTATATTTAAATATTTTATTTTCATATATGAATTATAAGGAGATATTTATATCTCCATCTTAATTATATGCATGCTGCTATTTCCACACTTTGTTTGGAGCTAGAGAGTGGCAGACCCAGGACTAAATTCCAGGTGTGGCTGACACCAGTGACAGCAGTCTTGCCACACTGCCATGCCTTCTAGGAGGGATTAGAATTTGGATGTGGTGCTTCAAAGAGTTTTTAATTTTTCTCAAAATAAGAAATACTTTTTGCACACACCAGTCAGTCACAGTGGCTGCATTTAGGGAGCGGAGAGGGGTTGCTAAGAAGACAAATGGGAATTTTGCCTGTCTGTATTGATTGACTTATTTAAATAATGAGCATGGGTTCGTGTAGTACTTGTCAAATTGTAAAAATTATTGAAAGATAATCTTATACATAGCGGCTAGGAATATCAAACAATACAGCCACTTTTGAAAACAGTGTGGGAGTTGTTTATTAAGTTAAACATATGCTTAGCATGTGACCTAGCAACTGCATTCTTATCCACCCAATAAAAAGGAAAGCATGTGTTCGCAAAAAAAGTCTGTATACAAATGTTTACAACAGCTTTATTCGTAATCACTAAAGGCTGGAAACAATCCATATGTCCCTCTACAGGTGAGCAGATGAACAGCTGTGGTCCATCCTTACAAGGGGATACAACTCTGTAATAAAAAGCAACAAACTATTGATAGGTGAGACGACATGGCTGGATCAAGTGAAAGAAGTCTGACACAAGAGGTTACACACGATTGTATTTATATGACATGCACTAAAAGGGAAAAATATAGGGACAGAAATCAGATCAGTGGTTGCTGGAGGTGAGAGGAGGGAAATGATTATATAGTAGCACAAAGGATCTTTTTAGAGTGATGCAAATATTCTTACTTGATTGCGTTGGTGGTCACACAGGGGTACGTGCATTCATCAAAACTCACTTTATACCAAAAAAGGTTAATCATAGATTAAATAATAAAATTGAAATTATAGATTAAGTTATAAATTAGAGTTTATATGATAATTATATATAATATAGTATATAATATATAATTATAACTAATAAATACAATGAAGTATAATTATAATTACATATTATATACTACATAGTATATAACTCTATAGCATATATTAATAATTTTAAATTATATATGATAATTTATAATTATGTTATCTATAAGGTACTGAATTATATACTACAATTTGATGTTATTATAATGTAAACTATAATTTATAGTTTGTATTTCTACTTGTAGTTTGTATAATTATATATGCTTTATATATATAGTTATATTTTAAGGTAACACAATATATATTGTTAATTATATAAATTACAGATCAATAAGTATAACTTAAAATTAATAAACAGAAAGGAAAAGAGAAGTTCAAACAATTAAAGCTGAAAATGAGATTGTGAACACCTCCTCATAGAGGTTAGTCCAGCAGAGTGTAGACCATCTGGCAAAGATGTAATGGAAGGAACTGGGTGGTAGGTGATGATTTGATGATTTCTGAGGTTCCTGTTCCTTTTCTAGGTGGCCATCATTGTTCACATATGTCTGCGCTTCAGGGGGCAGCTATTAGCCTGTACCTGACTCTTGTGTGAATGAGAACAGGCACCTCCACCTAGAGAAGGTGCAGAGCTATGCAGCACTCCTTGGCTGGCGGATGGTGCCTTAGTGAACTTCATGGATGTCTCAGGATAGGCAGAACAAAGAAGAGGTGCCTTCTAATAGTCTCAGGTAGGAAGAAGGTAGAGGGAATCTACCTGGCCAGCTCCATCCTTTTTTCTGTTTCCCACTGGTATGGTTGCCCCAAGGAAGTTAACTCTCTTATGCCTCAAGTATCTTCACGCCCTTTGAGCAGCCATTTGGGAAGCCAGATTAAATGCGCTATGTTGTATTATTTTATCAGTCCAGATGTGGCAAGAGAAGCAAGAGACATAGGGCATGTAGCTCTTCAGTATGGTTGCGCAGAGGTAATGGGGGGAGGGCCCTTGGCTTCTCCCAGTGATGGATGATTCGCCCTAGGTGGCAGATACGTATGCGCCTGAATGGACAGGTAATTACAATGGCAGTCAGGTCAGAACAAGCAGCAGGGGCCTGAAAGTTAAGGGCACCGAGAGAACACGAAAAGGCATAAGATTACAATTCAGGGCTCAAAATTATTTGTTGAATAAATGCATGAACGAATAAATCAATGGGTGTGGTGGGAAGACGGTGGCAGGGGCAGCGAGGTTTTTAAATCTTCTGAAATCCTCCTGCCCCCATAAAAAAAGACAGATAAACTCTAACGGGAAAATCCAAGGCCCAAGGTCAACACCTTCAAAAATCTAGATGAACATGGTAGCTTCATGAACCCCCAAACACGAGCAAGTGGAGGAACACCAGCAACTACTAAACATGCACTGCTCTGCATATCCGTGTCAGGGCAGGAGGGAGCAGGGAGGTATCTGACCGACGTGAGAACACAATTCTAGAACTGACAACACGACTCAGTGAAATTCAGAGTAAAGCAATTTGAGACCAACTGGAACCAGAAGGACTCTTGCACACTCCAACAAAGCTGTGGCTCTGTGGGGTTCGAGATAGAGTCTCAAGGAGCTGGTATAGCCTGGGGTGTGAGAGCTTTCAAAATTACAAGCTCCTTTTCAGGCAAAAAGGGTGGAGTTCTGAGAGTAGTATTCAATTCAAAAGAAAGGAAAAAGAGTAGAGGAAAGGAAAAAGAAAGCCTAAATAAAAGAGCAGAGGAATCACATCTCAGAAAGCACAAGGCAATTTAAAAAGATTTCTTAGAGCACCTGGGTGGCTCACTCAGTTAAGTATCCAACTTTGGCTCAGGTCATGAACTCACGGTTCGTGGGTTCAAGCCCCACATCGGGTTCTATGCTGAACACTTGCTCAGAGCCTGGAGCCTGCTTCAGATTCTGTGTCTCCTCTGTCTCTGCCCCTCCTCCACTCACGCTCTGTCTCACTCTGTCTCTCAAAAATAAATAAATGTAAGAAAGTAAAAAAAAAAAAAAATCAACACATACATAGGTTGAATAATCTGTTAGAAGATGCACGAAGAAGAAAATAAAAAGCAATGGAAATTTAAAAAGGTAACATTTAAGAAAACTTTCCTGAAATAAAGAGATCTGACACTAGTACCTAGAAAATCAATCCTGAATGAAGATTGTCAAGGTATATTCTAAGAGATGTCTGAAGTTTACAAAAAAAAAAATGATTTGGGCGTTTAGTCAAAATACCAAATGACTTAAGTGACTGTCTTTGGCTTTATCCCTGAATACATAAAGTAGCATATTGAAAAGATTCAGAGAAAGAAATCCTAAGGCAAAGGTTTTACATCTAGCCAATATGTCAAAAGTTATGAACATGATGGAACCAGAGACTGTTGCTTCCATGTGCCCTTCCTGAGGAATTTCCCAAGGAAAGGTGTTTTAGACCACCAAAAGGGAAGGGCTTTGACAAGACGACTAATGATGAGCATAACTATGTAATCACCCATAAAACTATGATGGTTATGAGAAGAGTACATACCCAGCAGATATTATACAATAATTGAAGGGCCAGAAGGGTAATGGAGATATAAAACAGAATATACTTGTTGATTATTTTATAGTTACTGGTGAGGGTAAAAGGACATTTATTCACATGGGAAACTGGTGCATTGGGATAAGAGAAAAGAAATTATTAACTAATTTAAAGATTGTTAGGAAACCTG